ATAGAATGTACAATAAATCAATTTACATAAATTATCCAGGATTAAATGTTATAAAATCCTAATCTGACCCAGTCAATCCATTTTAAGGCAACGAACCTATGAAACGTAATTTACGTAATATATGTATAATGTAATAATTTACTGTAGTACTTGACACAAACGTTTCGGTAATATGTTTGATATAATTGTCATAGATTCGTTACCTTAATTATGAAATTTCAATCATCACTCACCGACCGATGCGCAACAGCGGAGTTATTCTGCAACGTCGCTACGATGATTCTGTAACAAAACAAATATAAAATCCAAATTAAAGCAGAGCATAAAAGAGAGGGATAGAGTCATTATGAAAACAATCAGTGAACATTGCATTCTACAATATTCTACATTATTGTTTATTAAGCAAATTTAATGAAATAATTATGTAATTTTTTAAGAATAATTAATCCATTGGACATAAGTTTCTGTGGAATTTCTAAAATAGAGAAAAATAAAGAGTTTTTAGATTTCTAAAGAATTTCTAAAATAAAACTCCTTTTTTCTCTCATTTTTATTTTCTGAATATTTGGTAGAAAAGTAAATGACTCACTCGCATAAGATATAATATATGTATAGGTATGTATAAATCAATTATATTTACCGCATGTTGCTCCGCCGGCGCCTGATGCCTCTCCTAGGCCTCCACACCTCCTCTAAGACTGCTCGGGATGTCAGCTAGTATTTCCTCGATGCGAAGCTTCTTCCCGCGTGGATATTTTCTGAAACATATAAATAATCGATTTGATTAAATAATTGTTACACGCATCAAACATCTTATTCATTATTCAATTTAATAATTATTTAAATTACTATTCCAAAAATGTTCTTTATCAGAATAATAAACTTTAATCATTTCAAATTATTTCTTGTTACTAATTACAATTTCCGAATCACGAAGAAATAAAACGACTAAAGGATAAACAAAAAAGAGATTATTTTTAAACAAAATAAATAGTAATATTTATACCATAAAGTTATCACGCTTATGCCCGATGCCTCTCCTAGACTTCCTCCTTCTCTCAGGCTGCTCGGCTTGTCAGCTTCGCAGGATTTTCTCGAGGCGACACTCCCATTATTCTATTATTTAAACAAATAATTCGATTAAAGAAAAATAGACCATACTTATGTATATAACTTAACATATAAATTAATTTATACTCACTGCCTCTTTTGAAGCTGTCGTGGACGGGGGGAGGATGGTATCTGTTCCGTAGGCACTTGACACAGCTCTCGCGAAAACGCGGGCAATTACTATCGCGCGAAACTTTGCACGGCACTCCCGTTAATTGGAATTAATTAATACGCGATGAACGCGATACAACGCGCGAAAAAAAACCGCGAGAAATAATTAACCGCGTTGTCAATACGTTCGGGAGAAGATAACTGACCCGACGATTTCACCTGCAGATCAAAATAAAGTCCCTCCGTCGAGTGATACGTACGCTGCGGCGCGGTGACTTATTTAATTGTTCTCTCGCACGACTCGCACGGTGATTTGCGTAAACAAGGGGTGCGCCGCGTACAAAAAAACAATACCGAAGCCGCGTGCCGCTCTCGACAACATTTCCCCGAAATACTTTAACGTTTTCCGATATAAATCGATCCTTTCGAAATTTGAGAGAGTCCGCTACACTGATTCGTTCCGTGTTCACCGCGTTACGTGGATGGCGACGAAATCTTCCGATGTCGGCAAATGCGCGCGGTATTACGCGAGTCAAATGAACGGCTATACGTCGAAATTATATAGTAGACACGTCGAAATTAAATATCACACGCGCAACACGACATCAAGCTCGTAAATCTCGCGAATGTAAAACCGCACTATTAACACTTTGCACGACGAAGAGTCGCGACTACCGGCCGTTAATTTACGCGACGCAAAGTACACACGAAGATTATGAAATATTCACGAACGGGCGGTATCACGGCGTTCCGTTACTAAAATCACACAACACAACGATATATCACTCGGTTCTCTTATTTCTCCCTTCGGAGAGAAATTACACGACAGTTAACCAGCACAGCGTTCAAAGCGCGACGCAAGACAGTCGCGAGAATGCTACGTACGTTTATTGCTATCCATGGCGTGACGGACGATTATCCATTATCCCCGGCGAATATCACAATAACACTACAAATAATTCACAATTCCCGTAAACCTTTGCCACGACGTCTTCGATTCGAGCGATTCACATCCACGACACATCCATTCCAACGAATACTTCATTTCTTGTAAGTACGCCGATTATTTCCGCGGTTCTCGAATTCGCGAAACCAGGAGCAGGAATGCCAACTGCAAGAACGAGCGCGTTCCGAATACACACAGCACGGAGCACGGCGACGAGGCGCGCGGGGCACGAACACTTCACACTCGTGCGAGATTCATCGAGAGAACGAAAGCTGAATGACTTTCGCAGGCAACGGTACGCCCCGAGCCCCGAGCGTCGACGAAAACAAGTGGCGGCCGCTCGCCGACAAAAACGATCGCCCACGCGCCGACTTCGAACGTTATTTCGTCGAAATTGCGAGAATTCATTCTACGGTCGCGCTCAGTAGGACGTCCGTCCGGTATTGGTATAAAGTGTATGTAGTACGGACGCCGCGGACGCGGTTGCTCGCCGCGCCAGCTCGAACGTGATTGGCCGGACTCGGGGGTTCGACTCGCGAGCCAATCGCGTTCGACGGCGCACCTGACTGTGCGGCCGGCGGTGCTCGAATATGCGCAAGTACTATGCGACGCGTTTACGTCGGTGCGGCGCGAGACGTTGTCAATCGCGTGTATAATTCCTCTTTCTCGTGAACGAAAAGAGATGCGGGTGCGGAGTGTTGCAAGCAGAATGTACGCCGAATACTCCGTTCCTTCTCGTGTCGACTGCAGCGAGTGGGATGCCGTCGCTGGACGAGATGAACGCCGAATGCTGTATGCTGAACACCGTACGTATCATCCTCCCGACTGTGATTTGGCGTGCCTCCTGCAGTGCTCCGTGATCTCGGTGAGTGAATTGCATGAGAAACGAATTATTTGAAGCGAGATATATCCGAATCTAAATAGAATCGTCGTCCCGCGTGACGCGGTGAGACCATAACCCTCAGAATTCGCGTCTCCTGCCTCCGTTTCGATTTCCACTCCGAATTAGTGAATCGCGCGGGAAGACGCGATCAATAAATATAATACGGAACCTCTCATTAAACGCGAGAATTAATAATCAGCTGTTTAATTGAAGAGAACGATCGCGTTTGGCGTTCTCACTTTGCTTGTCACGATCGCGAACGAGAGAGCGGCGAGCTTCAATAAACTTATATGAATATTGATGAGAGAGTGCGAACAAGCTCGAATATGCGTCCACGAATAAATATCATATTTCGTTAAAGAACGGGCACGTCCCAGATAGCAAAACGTGAGTGTGCAAAATCATGCAAATGTAACGCAGCTTTACATGTGTTGCGATCGTGACGCATAGAGATGTGCGCCAGGCTTAGTGAGCCGAAGATCCGAGTTCAAATCCGGCCGAGAATCGTCGATTTTTATTCGATCGCCACCTCTCGGAAAGCAAACCACTGAAGAGTATCTCGTTATACAGCGCTAAAAAATTGGCGAAATATGATATGGTCATCAATATGATATAGCTGATACAATTTAATTTTCTGTAAAGTAGAGATTAATGAGGAATAAAGAAGCGTACGTGGATTGATTAGCAAAAAAAGAAAGAACGACATTAATTCAATCGAGGGTGTTTTGAAATAAAAATAGTGCTACGGAAACTTTTTTTTTTCTTTTTTATAGAGAAAATATAAAATACAGCCAGCAGGAACAAACCTGTTTGGCACATTTTTACATAGGTGCGCTTTTTTGTCCCGCGACTTTTGTCCCACGATTCGGCGATTATTTAAGTTCTTTTCCAAAAGTCGTGAACATAGCACGGAAGAGAACCACAAAATCGTGAATATTATCTACGGGATTCATGGACATTGATTACGTAGTTTAATGTTTACATTTTACGGACATAGAGGCGCTTCAAAATAAAGTAAATTGTAAAGCGCCCATGGCCGCTCTCAGGTTTCTCTCTGCGTCTCTGCTCCGTAGTTTCGTTGCAATTTTTTATATCATTACAGAAAACCAATGCGGAATATAGTGTGATACGTCGAGGTATGTAAGTTTTGTGATGAGTATAATTATTTGAGTATTACGTGATTGAAATCGTGAATGAGGAGTGACGATTGAAAAACTTCTTCATAAATTCTCGATATACAAATTTTTCGAATTTCTGTTACTTAATGACAATTCACGAGAGTAATAAGGATATCGTAATTCTTGGTTAGGAAAAGAAGCGGCGTTTTTCGAACATGGATGTAATCTTCGCCCGTGGACTGAGATTTAGCGTCGAATTAGGCAATGCCTCTATATTGTTAACAAGGTATCTTCCGTTGTCGGCATGCTACACATGTCGTGTCAACACAACACGCTGGAAGTCAGCATTCCCTGGTAAGCTCTGACATAAACATGGTGAGAATGTCAATGGGTTCAGTATGTATATTATCAGGCTCATTTCATTTGCAGAAAGATATCGCCGTTATAAGGCTGCGTCATGTAATTCTTTAGGTCTCGCAAATAATATACTCGTGTATCAAAAGTCACTGAAACAGGACATCAGCAAAAATGGTATTATCCTGGCCTACTATTCGGACCTTAAGCCAAGTTCCGAGGGTGATTGCCAGCAACCTCAGACAGAGCAGAAACTGTCAGTATTTCAAAAAATGAAACAAATGACTAAAGATTATTGGCATGTATTACTACCTGTGCACTTGATTACTTCGATAGGATGGGCAGCTATATTCTATACTGCTGTTAGGAAGTACGTACAAGAGCAATTGACATAGGGTTCTTTCCATTTACTGACACAAGTCGACACAAGTCGACACAAGTGTTGTTTTGTCTTTTTTACTCATTGAACGCAATGAAAGATAGAACGACGTTTGTGTCGACTTGCGTTAATAAATGGAAAGCACCCACAAATTGATGTCGTTTGAACTCGACAATTTATTAACGTAAAATTATGTACTTTTAGTGGTGTGGATATAGTCCAGCTGTTGGAATATATGAATTTTAGTGAGAAATATATAAATTTAATACGTAACTCGAGTGCCGGTGATTGGGCCATTACTTATGCACTTTATAAGATATTTACCCCACTCAGATACACCGTTACCGTTGGTTTGTAATTTTAATACTTTATGTAATAGATAATTTGCGCTGTGTGTCAAATATTAATACTGAAACGTAACAGGAGGAACGACAATGGCCATTAGGTATTTGAGCAAATTAGGCTACGTGAAGGCATTGTCATTCAAGCGTCAATCAACACAGGTGAGTAATGTACGTTAAATGCAATGTCACCTGGTGAAATTGAAAAAATAAACTATTGAACATATAACTATATCTGTATTTGCATTTGAAACATCTGTCTTGTCTGTTTTCTTACACGCACACACGTGGTGCAGCCTGCGGGCAAAGCTATGAGTAGGTTACCGATTACGTTTCATCTCAAATATATCGTGCTCATCTCTCTTGTTTTTGTTTTTGGCGAGATATTCTTGTCGCGTGAATAATATAATTATATAATATATCGTAAATTTTGTTCTTCGACGGCAGCATGTGTACTCCTCGTAATCGTCTTTAATCGTGTTGTAGCCAGCACAGTCAAACAAATCTACAATAGAACACGAGACAAAATCCAAGACAGAGTGTGAAACAGACCGACATACGAAGCCGCCAAAACCATAAATATCTCTCCCGCTATGTCGGACCTGCGAACTAGGCTCGGCGTAGCTCGGGGACTTATTGTAACGCGATGTCGATGTATATTTCTCTTTATGAATGTATATTATATTATGATAAATATCCTGCATTAAATATTCCTTGATTTATTTATCCCCATTCGTCGTTCCACATGCAGTTCAAGTACATCAATGAAAACTTATTGCAGTTTGTCTTTATTAAAGAGTAGTCATTTATACATACTGCATATTACGATTTAAATAAGATCGTACTATTTATCTACAATATGCGCGCGAACTTAAAATTATTTATATGTAACGTAGAAACAATTTACGCTTATTAATCTTGAAGAATAACAATAGTTATTTGGCAGCTCGAGTTGTGCGTCTTTCAATGCTATAATGTTGTCGTATATTTATCGTTATATAGCACGCCTGCATACTTTTCCAGTCTCCACACTTTGTGCGAAAACACTAAAGGCGTTATTATATAGTTTTCGAAGTATACCGATAACCTTCAATATTACGTGAGTCCTCGCAGCGAGACGATACATCTGTCTTAATAAATATTATTAATGAATGCTATATGAAGTACATACAATGAAACTTGATCGACGGAGGAAATTCGCAGGAATATTCCCGGGATTCATATTTTCACCATAAAATTGCGTTATAATAAACATACCTGATAAAAATATATATACACACGATAAAAAGTATGAAGTTTTTGCTTAAAAACGCATAATTATTATGCTACTATATCACAGTTGCCTGCGCAACTCATTCATCCTTATGAACCACTGCATTTGCAGAGTTGCTAAATAAATAAGAATCGCATATATTAAATGTACCACTTATCTAGATAATTGATTATCTTCGATAAAAAAGACCTTGTACTCATAATCATGCAACGTGCACTGATACATCAAATTGATCCCAGAAGACAATATAATAATTTCAATTTCCTAATATCAGTTTTGTAATCATGTTTTGTTTAAGTTTAAAAAATTCGTCTTTCGCTTAAAGACCAGAATAAATAAAATCGCATTTTTTGCGGTAAAACCTGCCTAAAATGTAGCTAATACGCGATAGATAATTGATTATTATTTTTACAATGATTAACAGCCGTTTGTCATGTATTGATTCGTTAATTGTTCTTCATAAGATATATTTTAGTAATTATATTAGCGTATATATCGCAATAGATTAACAGTGACAACTATTACAACAAGAATCCTGTGTAATAGGTAAAACGTATGTATTGCAAATCCAAGTGTGTTATTTTAGGCAAAGATTTTTTTACACATTTCTTGCTTTTTCAAATCACGTTATTTAACACGATTGAATGTATTAACTTTTAATTTAATAAGATTAAACATGCTAAATGATGTAATTTAACACATAAAGAAACACGTAAGAAGAGCTTCTGTCTAATTGTGTTATTTTTGCACGTTTTACGCGTGTAAAAATAACGCACTTGAATTTGCAGTATGGCCGGAGCGACAATCAATTTTTATTCAAATGCGAAGGAATAATTTGCAAAGATTGATTCGTACACATGCCATGCATAATACATATTTGTCACGAATTATTATTTTTTGAAACATTACTCTATTTCTGTCGCCAATCTTGCACTATGTAGCAAACATAGTGTCATTCTGCTTGATTCCTGTCATTAATTTAGCATTATATTTTAACGAATTTCGAAATTTTTGCGAGCATTCTTCCAACAGCATACAGCCAGATTCTATATAAAATTTGTAATTTTTTTGTCGAAAAAATTTAGTGGCAGACATTTTACAGAATCTCGATAAATTTGGTTGCTGGGAGTATTCGAGTTTACTGTGATAGCAGATCGTACAACATATTGGTCTCGCAAAGCTCAAACTTTTAGCTCATTCTGGTGCATTGTCGTAAGATTAAAGCTGAAAAATTCTTATCTTGATCAAATTAAAAGACATTAATAAATATCACATCGTCGCCCCTTCCCATTTCCTAATTCAATTTTTCCGAGAAAGTCTCTTGAAAACTAGGACTTAGTGTGTATTATGATATATGTGTGCACGTACACACGTCCTGAATCTATAAAATTCGGGAATGTTAACGTCGATTTCTTTCACTTTACTCAATTGATTTTCGTAATACTCATTATCGGATGATCGTTACGTGCGCAGTTTCAAAAGTTCCGGCAGAAGCTTAAATATCAATACACTTAGCCCATAAACTGATAGCTAGCGGACACCGGTTGCGGTGCTCTCGGTTGCGTATGCGATATGCGTTGGATGTGACACGCACGACACATAAGTCTGCCGTCAAGTGGGTAGCACCGCTTATCCGGCTCGTCGGTCAATTGCATGCCGCAATCCTCACAAACGTAGCAATCCACATGAAAGTCTTTGTCCATCGAGACTACCCTGACCGTTTCCTCAGTTCCCTAAAATAGAAAGGGAACACGGCTCGTAAAAAGAAGTTTCATCGGGAACGCTAGAATTGTCGTGCGCCTCGATGACGTAAGCGAGTTAATTTCTAGTGCGCATACCTCAACTGGCGTGATTCCCTTTCCACAAGACGCGCACTTAGGCGCAAACATTCTGTGGTAATCGTTTACACAATAGATCTTATTGTCAACGTCGACCGTGAAGGGTACACCATCGAGGCACTCGTTGCACACGCAACATCTGAAGCAGCCCGGGTGATACGACTTGCCCATGGCTTGCAATATCTGTGGAAAGCAAAGGGTGACGTTATACTAAATACTTGAATTACAATGGCGACTTAACGGATGATAATCGTGTCTCGTCGTTTACCATTTCCATGATAAGGTGGCCGCAAATCGCGCATTTCTCGGCCGTCTGTTGGAAACCAGAATACTACGAACACAACGATTTCTATGAGTTACGCGAACAATTCACTGTTATTTCAATCATCATTTAAATTATAATAAATGGCTCACATACCAAGTAGTCCTCCTCGCAATAAACTCTCCCATGAACATTGTAGAAAGCTTTGCCGCGGAGAGCCCTTCCGCAGGAACAGCATATGAAGCAATTGGTATGATAGAGATTGCCCATTGCTTGACAAGCCTGTCCGGCGCCGGTTACTTTCTCACCGCATGTATGGCAAATACCTATCACCAAGAAAAATGAATGTGAAACTTTACGCTCCATTTATCACGAAATCATATGAAGAAGAGACAATTTTTTTGCCGCGACATACATATATTTCAACATTTTTCGTGGAATTATAAATATGTTTTACGTGAATTACAAACGTATTACAAATATTTCTAAATATTTACATATTTATAAACAAATTAAAAATTGCTTACACCCGATAATTTATATTGAAATTACTATAACAAAAACTAGCGTTTTGAAATATAAGTTTTAATTCAGTAGAGTAGAGAATTGGATTACATCGTGAAGTGAGAAGTTTGAAAATCACTCGTCGTCAGAACACATTCGCGCGGAGTTGAAGAACACGAGAAACGAGCTTTACCATCGGGGAGTTAAAAATACACCCATCGACGAACGTGACAATGTGGCACATTCATCAGGGTCGCACGTTCATCGCGTTTAAAAATCGCCCGGTTTGTCGCGGATGAACGCAGATGAAAAACGCGAACTCACAGTTCTCGATGGGCAATAGCGATCCTGCCATCCCTTAGCGCAAAAATTTTCGAAACTCACATGTACACTGGCTGTCTCAGTATTGCAACTTGGTTTCGCTAGACCAGGTCGCATTAGAATCTAACAAACGAGTCGGACTGGTCTATCTATAATGAGATTTGTTACCGACCACGGCGATGCGGCCACGCGTATAGAACGTTACACGAAGACTATTGGTCGTCTAAGTATGAAAGCGGCTAGGGAGACATTACGTTCGCCTAAACGCTTGCCACTTCGCGACTGACATTGCTTCGCTCGACCGAGGTTCCTGTCTGCTCGTACTCCATTCCTTATTGCGCGAGTTAGGCGGCGTTCACATTTATTTTCTAAATTGTCTTTATATTACAGCATATCTTTCTTCGCCTTCCTTTGTATTGCTTGTTTAATATCTTCAGGAAAACAAAGCTTATTTTCATCATTTTCAACACAATAAATTATATACAGCATCGATAATTTTATTTTACTGTGATAGAAATTTTATCCTATTAGTAATATTTGTCTGATAAGATTCGATATTATCATTTGATACGCATTTAAAATGCATCATTTAATTCTTCGAATTTAATTTTGAATCCTTGCTTATTCATTCGTAATTCATAAAAAATAAAGAACCATGTTAGATTTTTAGAAAAATGTGTGATAATTGCTATATAACGTGATTTATTACGAACAAAAAGTAGAGGAGAGAAATACAGAACAGAATATTTATTATTTCTTATATGACATAATTAGCATAGATAACAGAGAAAGAGAGAAACAACAATTAAGGAAAGTAAACAAATTTAATTTTCTGATTTTTGCATTAGACGTAATCTTGTAAACTACTTCGCTGAACATATGCAATCGCTGAATATATGCTGAATATATGCTATTATCGTATTTGACACGAAGAAGCCATAGAAACTATCAATCGTACATTGTTGCATCGGTTCAATACGCACTTATTGTTATTAGTATGAGCGGTACTTTAACAGAGAGCGACTTTAAAGAGTCGTAAGATTCAAGTGAGCTATCTCTTTATGTATTCACCTATGTGTCGTACTCGCCCTCGGCCCTTTACGCAAGAGAGATACGCGAGAGAGATACGTGGGTGGAAACTAACGCGGCGCGTGAAAGAGTGAATGTCAACGAAGTGTCGCGCTTAAAAAGTATCCGCGACGCACCGAAACTCGACTCCGTTTTCCGAAACCGGTCTACCGCGAACTCACGCCGTGGGAATTGGCACAGCCTTGGTATCGTGCCTTTTAGCGTTTCAGAGAAATATCTAAAATTATGGATTTACTCGGGGCGATCGTACCGTGTGAACCTGCGATCGTCGTTTCCTTAGTCTTCCTCCCTTTTATTTTATTACAAGAATGAAAGAAAGTATAAAAGTAAAACGAAACTGTGAATAACGTCAAAAAATGTCAAAAGAAACAATTCAGGCCGAATGACGTGCGTCTAGGATAGCTCGTTACCGTGTAGAAATATGAAATACAAAGCGTATAATGATAATCTTGGTTTTCCGGAATGAGTGAATAAACATTACGTAAGCAAATTTTTCTTACCGAAGTACTCTCCCTCTTCCTCCTGCTTTTCCATTTCCTCCTCAAGTTGTCTCGTCAACTCCTCTATTTTTCTTTCCGCTTCCGTTGGTCCCTGAGAGAAGTAATTTGCATGGAGAACGATCTCAATTATTAACAATTGAATATTAAACAGTATAATGATATTTAATATGTACGATAGAAATTAATTACATAACTTGATTGTCAAAAAATTAGTATTGTGAAAAAAGCGGTTATTTTAGCTTAAATTAATTATGTGTATAGATTCTTTATGCTTAAACGTTTAATAGAGTACTCCATGCAAGTATTATAAAACGCTATTGTTTTCATGTATATTCTTGATTTTTGTGTGTCAAATGAATAGAGACCTATGAGAAAAGATAAAGACAGAAAATGTTAAAATAACATACAAAAATACGGATGCCTCATGAATAAAATATCATCTGGTGAATGCACGTCGCTTGTCAGAGGCGAACAATTTACCAGTTATGACTCATTGAACGCGCGAAGAAAGAATTTTTCGGAGATGAAATCATAAGCGGTTTTTTCCAAATTTTACGTGTTAAAAATTGCATAGTATAGTAAGAGTGTAAAATGCTAACGAAAAATATGTAGTATCTGCAAGTCATATTTTTTATTTCAAATGCAAATTAATCTTATCGTTATAGGTCAGGCACAGATTACATAAAATAAATAAAATTGTCGGTATTAGTGAGATCATCACTGGCAATATAGGAAGTTTTATATTTTTAAAGTTATTCATGATTTTTGAAAAATTATTTTGAATGAATTACATTTGTGAGTAGGGATAATCCATCTAAATCAATTGCATTGTGCGATGAGAATGTAATTTAAACAGAGTATGATTATATATATACGCTTTGATATGTTAGGAACACATCAGCATTGTTTATCCCTCTTGTAGAGTGTATCTTATACATTATTTTCGTTACATTTTTAGTAAAATATGCAATAATGGTAACAGATAAGTATGCGATAAAAGTGCCAGAGGAAAATATATACATGCATAGAATTTTCGAAATGAGATTTGTCATGTAGATTCAAGATTTAAAAAAAAACACCATTTTTAAATAGACGTTGCAAATAGTAATAAATTTACCGAAGGTCTAGAAATGACGTTGTAGGGCAACAATCCCTTCCCAGGTGCAGGCTTGATCGGCGGACTAACAGATTTTCTCTCTTCTGCCTCTGGATCAGAAGATCTTTGCAATACAGGTACACCAGCATTTAGGAGTACGGGCCCTGCAACTCCACTGGTGACACCGGGAGGAAGGCTAGTGATCCTGGGACCGGCGTTCAGGTCAATTTCACTAGTTGAAGCACTATTGACAGGAGCTTGTACCTGTCCACGTATAGGACTTCCCATAGAATTGGTCGACGACAGAGACAGTCCACGTCTGGGTGAATTAATTATATTTTGCGAAGCAATATCTAATGGCATCGGGCCGTGCGTTGGGCTTGTTTTCGGAGATTCTCTTACTGCATTGTTGTTGGCAATAATGGCCCTAACAGGATCGCTTCGACTTGGAGAGTATAGAGATGTATTCCTTGTAGATGGGAGATCCGATACGTCTGACATGTAGTTTCTGTCACTTTGTTGCAATGTGCCTAATCTCAAATGTTCTGTAGAACGATTGGAGGAGTAAACGGGAGAATTTCTTGCAGGGAAATTTTCCTGATGGTGATAGTTTCTGTCATTCTGAGGCATTGCACGATTTGGAGAATAACATGGAGGATTACGACATGCTGTCTGTTCTCCTGAACGAATTCCGTATACCGGAGAATTTCTGGCTTGCGAGTCTCCTGTGAAATTTGTATTTGTAGTCCTCGAAGAAGCCTCATATTGTTTGTAATTTTGCGAATTGTCCTGTCGAAATTGAGGCGGTTGGCTATTATCAATCTGATTTGTACCACGAAATCCTTGTTGGCTACTCATAGCATTTTCCAGTGAACCGCGATAATGATGAGGCTCTGGTGGTAAGCGTATCGGAGGAGACTCACTGTGGTATGGCAAACCAGGTCTCGTAGATTGTTGCTGCTGCTGATCAGCGTTATAATTAAAGTTTCTATTTGGTGGTTGCAATTCAGAGGGGGGTACGTAAGCGCTTCTTCCAGACTGATGGTCGGAGGAAGCAGAGGATGAGCTTTGTAAGTACTTAGCAGTAGACGAATCGATTGATCGTTGTAAACTTGAACCGTCGTAACTTTGACCACGTATACTTCCACTTCTTTGTTGGGTGTACGATAAACTTTGAGTCATTCCACGTTGATTCTGAGATTGTCCCACTTTTCCAGTCATAACAACATAATCACCGCCATTGATATTTGCTGGATGATAATAATTCGGCGGAACCTGTGGTCCCGGCTTATTCTGCATGCTCTCAGAAAAGTGCACTTCTTGTATGTTTTCGTATACCGGTGGTGCTTCATACGGCGGTAATTCTTTCGCTGGTGATCCACTTTGATAACGATTGCCAGTTGGGACTTGCGGTTGAGCTTTCCTGTAATTTCCTTCATAGGAATCGCCAACTAGAGAACCTCTAGGACTACTTTTCGGACTCTTTCTAGATTCTATTGGATGGTAATAAGGAGGATGTGGCTGACTCTGCTGCGGATAGTAATCTATATTCTCATAAACAGGTGCCTGTTGGTGACTCGCACGAGTCTGATTCTGTTGTTGTTGCTGTTGCTGCGCACTGATTTGCTCCACTGGCTTCGGCGTAGCAAATCGTGAAGCAGCTATTATGTTTTCACGTTCATATAATTTGTAATCAGTGGCGGCTGCCTGTCTGGAAATATCCGTCGAATTGCCATCAATAAAACTTTCGATAGCGCCAACCGGTCTGCCAGACGCTCTAGCGTCATTTCTGTTAATCGCATTTCTCGATACAGGTACCTGAGCCTCAGGTCTCGAACCTGAGATTCTGGTCGCACCACCAGCATCCGCAGCATCATCTCCAAGGTGTAAATAGCCTAATTTTTGTACGTAGGAAGTATCTGTGGAATTGCACATTGGCAGTGATTCTCGTTGGCACAATGATAAGTCAGAATGTCGTTTAATCCTTCGCGTGCACTTTAATCAAATTTTCAAAATCAAGACGCTGTTAACGAACTCGATTCAAAGCGACACGACATCATATGTGGTGTTACGGTAACTAGGTGGTCCGCTTGTCAAAACGATCTTGCTTTCCTTCTCTTTCTCCTTCTTCTCTCTTCCTCTTTCAACTCTTCTTACGTGTGCGCTCTCGTAATCTTCTCACGGAATAGCACGAAATCCGACGCGCGGTATATGTTGCACGGGGCCACTACGAGGACCTTTTTTCTCCTTCGATTTCGGGCTACGCCCCACGACCAGGGCGCCTCGGACCTGTGTTGTTGCTCCTCGAGTGCGACCGGCGCACACCTCGGGCTTCTCTCGTTTCAGCACCGAAAAATCACCACCTGCGAAAATTCATGCGACAGCGCATACGCACGCAGAAACGCAAGAACAGGTCAGCATCGTCTCTTGTCAAGACAGGAACCTGCGACAGATGTCGTGGCATTACACTGCTGTTCTGGTCTTGCTATTTCTTATCATGCTGCGGCGCTAAATGTAAGTTCCATGCAATATGGGTTGATCAGCAATGTGGGAATCATAGGAACTATTACGGTAAACCGTTTCTCTGCATAGTTCCGTATAGAACCGTTCTGCCGTTAGTCGCTGGTGCCATCAGCGGTATGAATGAAAACTAGGGATATAACTCGAATTCCATATTTAACCATTTGTGGTATGACTAATTTTTTTGCATCCACATTTAATTTGGAGAGAGAAATATTGATTCTAATATTTTTTTCTAATTTTTTTATACAGATTAATTATTTTGAAAACAGCTTTACAAAATTTTAAAATAAGATCTATTTTTTTTAAATGTCTAATAATGTTTGATCAATCTTTAGCATTTTGTGAATCATGAATTTTATTATTCTTTAGATAAATAAATTGAATTGTTTTTATCCCAAAATCTCTTCAATAGGGATACGGAAAGATTTTTTTTGATGCAGCGATATCAGTCTAAGCGAAATGCAAATGACGAGATGTTGGAAACAGGTACTTTTTAAGATCAGAATGTGTTAGCAAAGATACGATACCGACCTCGTGCGTCTTCGTACAGTTGAGACTGCTGTGCGCAGAATAATAATGCGATGTAATTCCATTATGTCTTTTTTATTTTACACTAGCTGGCTTTGACTCGCTATGTTTTGCTTGGTGAGGAAAGAAAATGCGCGTATTTAAAAATGGATCGTCAAATAAATTACAATAATATTTTAATAAATATTAACTTAATTAATATTTATTAAAATAATTTTAGTTAATATAAATATTAATAAAATATATTATTTTTAATTAATACGCAAGTTTATACAAACTTTTTTTTATCAATTTTGCAAATGGTTTATATCTAATGTATTTTAATCCGATGGTGACACTAATCTTTGTTGTCCTTCTTACTAACTCTACTTTCATTCCAATTAAACTTAATTAGCTTTCGCGCATGACCTGTAAAGATAGTAATTTTCAGCGCAATTGCACTGGGATTCAAGATTCAGGATAATCAGGGGTTTGTATGCAATCGCACGGCTCATCTCATAATCGATGAATTCTGAGAAATGGGTCGGTACTAATTGCGCTAAATTCTTATTCTTTACTTTTTTATTCTCTTTACATTAAATTGTAACATTTTCTGTAAGATGAATGGATTAATTATCGCGTACAGTTTATATCAATCAAATGCGGTCCCCATTTAGATTACAGTTTCTGAGATCTAATTGCATAGGATCAATGCTACTCTCAGTTAATGATGAGTAGATAATTTTAGATTTAGGTAGCTTACGTTTAAATGAGTATATAATTTGTAGGTTTATTTATTTTAGTCTTTTATTAATTGGAAAATACAAG